GGCGGAGCTCCGAGAGCATCAATGGTGCGGGGAGGAGCCAGAGCGCCGAGACATCCACCTCCCCGCGCCCCCCGCACCCGTGCGCCGTCCGCCCCAGGTCGCTGCAGCCCCCGGGCTCGTGGGAAGCACCCCCTGCCCTTGCGGGGCTCTCGGACGCCAGGACACGGAGCAACGCGCTCCAGTCGCAGCAGGGGAGGCTGAGGTTGATGTTAGGAAAAACTTTCTGGCAAGGAGGGTGGCGAAGCGCTGGGGCAGGCTACCGGCAGACGTGGGGGAGCCTCCATCCTTGGAGGTGGTTAAGGCTTGGCTGGGATGATGTAGTTGGGGCTGGTCCTGCTTGGAGCAGAGGTTGGGCTAGAGGTGCCTACCCTCGTTTTGTAGCATTTAAAATACTGCGCCGCTAGCTGGTCCCCCACCCCACAGGAGGGGCAATACGGGTGGCGAGCGGCACAGAGGGGCAGGGGAGATGGGAGAGCCCAGGTCTGGTCTGTTTAGAAGGGAGACGTGCAAGGGAAGGGCTTAGAAAAGACCCGCTGTGGCTTTTCTGAGGTCTTTGCAGCCGAAAAATTGCTCTAGGATTATGCTGTTGTCAAAAATCAGGTATAAGCAAAAAGCCGGTGTTTTTCCAGGGGCGCTGTGAATCCAAAAAGGTTGAGAACCGCTGGCTTAATAAAGGCAATTAGCCAGCGAGATGATCAGGGGACTCGGACCAGCTCCCTGGATGTGCACGCAGACCTAACAGAGGTGCATTCGGGGTCCCTGCTTCAAAGACCAGCCCCACGTGTTCAAAAATCATGAGCCAGGCCTCCTGAAATCCCATGGCTGACGCATCCCAATGGGATGGAAATAACAGAGTTCAGGCTTTTTTGTATTTGCTGTTTTGGAGTCCGAGCCTTTAGGGGGTTTGGGGCTGTGTTTTTCTTCCCACCCACAAAGGCTGGGAGCTTATATTAAAAAAAACCCAAACAAACATAGAAACCTGTGATTTTTTTTTTTTTTTTTCTTCCCCATGCAGTCACTTGACTCCCAGACCTGGGGCTTTTAGTGAGACACTGCATCTCATGAGACTGTGAGAGCTGGCGTGGCAGAGACGCATAAGACAGTGATGAAGAGGAAAGTGTATTGGGGTATTCAGGGACCAGGGAGAGGATAGCTGTTGGTTAGGATGAGTATTTCTTTATAGTAAGGCAGCCTTGACACTCCATTAGGTTGTGTATACACACACACACGTGCATGCGCATAGTGAAGACAGTCTCGGCCCCGAAGCATTACAGTAAACAGACCAGCAGACTAACGATGATAATGTCCATTCTGCACATAGGGAATCAAGATACAGAGGGACCATGTGGTTTATCACGGGTGACATAAGGAGTCTTTGGAAGAACCGGAAACTTGAGTCTCTGGACAGAGTTTTAAGAACAGGAACAATATCCTAGTGGTTTCCTTCAGAGATGCTCCTCAAGCATCATATCTGAAGCACGTGATGTCCTACGTTGCGGTCCTTTCACCACAGGTAGGAGCTAATTTGGGAAACAGTTGATATTAAGAGTCTCTGGCTAAGAATAAGTGGGTGACCTGAAGGATGGAGTCTGTTCCCTAAAGCACAGTGATTTTTCAACCTTTTTTTATTTGCAGACCCCTTTTGGAAATCACAAACGGAGGTGCGGACCGCTTTGAATTGTAGGTGTGGGTATTCACATACTTTTAATCGATCATAGTCATCTTTCGCAGACCCCTTCGACATAGCCTGTGGACCCCCAAAGAGTCCATGGACAACAGGTTGTAAACCACTGCTATAGCGGATGGACCTGCAGCGAATGGACATTTAGATGCAACATTTGAAAGGTCTCCAATGTCCAGCGAGTAGGTGAAGAGGGTTTCTAGTGCAGACTGAAACTGGGCCAAGACAGCAGACCAGTGGCAAGGTTGGTTGTGAGACTACTCAATTTGGCATTCACAGCTGTGTGTGATACTGGAACTGCGGGTGCAACTGGATAGTTATGTACCTTTTTATATTCCCATTTCCACATTTTTTAATGCTTAGGTTTGGATTCCTTTTGCTCTAATATGCCTCAGCAAACCAAGTAGGAAATGGATCTCCCAAGTAGATACATTTGCTGATTGTGCTAAAGGTAAGCTCTCAATCTTCTTATCCCTTGTAGCCACAATGCTACCTAATCTTTTGCTAAACATCTGATGCACATATTTATTATGCAACTAGGTGATACCCCACCCCTTGCCATATGGCTTTAATTTACATTATTCAAGGTAGATAATGCTGCTTCCCCCAAATATGGAGTACAGTGATGCACTACACCCCCTGCCTCCATCCAAAAGGGCTCAACTGAGGGGGAAAAGAATGATTGAACCAGGAGCAAAGCAATCAACCTTCAGGGAGCATAATCTCAGGACCCGGTTGTGGACAGATGGCTGTTAGTAGCCATAAAATTGATGGTAGATAGTCACTTTCAGGGAACATACGGTTGCACAGTTTGGGCCCTGCTATATGTTCAAAGAGAAGCTGGATAGGAACCAGCTATAGAGTTGTTACATTTTTTCAAGCATTAACTTTAGCACTGGTTGGCACTTTCTATAACCGGACAGTCATTTTTATTGTATGATAATTACTTCGCATGTGTGGCCAGCTAAGTTTATTGTTCGATTCACCAGTAAATAGTGTCATATATGTAACATATAGCAGGGGCCTTTGTGCATAGCAGCCCTGATCAGGATGTTGCCTGGTACTGATTTGGAGCTGTTTTTTTCAAATTAGGGACAAAAGCCCCCTTTTCAGTGCATACCCCCAAGTTGGGCCTCTAGAAGAGTGTTTCTTAACCTGTGGGTCGTGACCCAAAAGTGGGTCACAAGAATATATGAAAGGGCCACGGCCAAACTGTAGAAATGGATCAACAAACTTTCTCTTTTAAAGGAGAAAAATGTAGGAAACCATGGCTGTAAGGGCTGCTTGGGGCCCCCCAGGTCCCACACATACCACCCCCTTCCCCACATACCCACCCCCTGCTCCACACACTGTGGGGCTGGGGGCACAGGGCAGTGGGTCGGGAGTGAGGGGCACTGGGTCGGGACTGGCCATCGATGTTTACAAGTGGGTCCTGGTACAAAAAGGTTGAGAACCACAGCTCTAGCAAATACAGGGTGGTTGCTCACTTTAAGCAGGAGAATTGTTCCCATTAAAACAGTCTGATGCCACTCAAGAAGTTTATGCCTTCAGCCAGCACGCAATGAAAACCAGACTGGCCTTGAATGGACCTTGTGGAAACTGGTGAGTGAAATGCAGCATCTTCAGTGGCTCCAGATTTATGTTTGGACCCAGCTGAGAAGGATCTTGATCTCCTCTGAAAAGCTCTCCACATTGTCAGCCTCCACCCCAAGGCAAAATAAATAGCCCAGTAACTGGAGTGATTAAATTGCCAAGATAACAAGGGCTGAAAGCTGCAGGCTTCCAAAGGCAGTCATTGCCCGGCTCCATGCCCCTGACCTCTGCTGCATTGTCTTCTTTGAGCCCCCGAGTTGTCTTTCCTCAACTGCACGTTCCAAATTAAATGTTTAAAGCAATTGCCCGTGCAGCAAAGGCAAATGCCATACTGATGCCTACAAAGACCCCATCCCCCAGAAATATTTGTCTGTCTCTACTCAGTGCCTGTTTTTATTTCCCTAAAAGCTGCCTTTAGCTTCTCCTGGTATATCACTGCGCATTAAGTTTAGTACTAGTATAACCAAGTACTAAATCAATGTGCAGTAACCGGCACTACTGTGCAGTAGCACCGGCTCATGGCTTTTTAGTGACGCTAACTGCACAGTAGCCTAATACGACTGCACAATAGCATATTAGCACGGGTTTTGCCTTGCAGGCTACTGCTCAGTAGCATTAGGATACTGTGCAGTTAGCATCTCGTGTAGACACACCCTGTGTGATACGTGTTGAATGTGTTATTCTATCATTATAGAGGCTGCCTTCTATTTAGGGACCTACCTAGCAGTGGTAGCAAAAGCAAAGGGAGAGCAATGGTAGCAAAAGCAAAGAGTTTTAACAGTGGAAAAAAAATCAAGGTTGTATATATTACGTACATAAATATTCATTTAAAACATGTTTCATTAACCAAATAATTTGATTTTTAGGAATGGGTTTTGGTCCCAATTGGTTGGAATGATGGCTGCTCTATTCTATTTACCTCTGACGTACAGGCTGTCTAGGATATAGTCACAACTGAGCTGAGTCCCCGGATGAAAGCCAGGTGTTGACCAAGGAATGACGTGGTGTGTTGAAAAGGACGTGCTGTCTATATGACCTGGTTATAGGGGATCCACGGGGAACGTAGGTAAGAGCAGGGGTACGTGGCCAGAGCCTGACTGGTGGCGGTTGCCTGTACAGATAGATCAGATAACTTGCAGCAGTTAAGGACCTGCCTACAGTTAATGCATGCACCGCGTGGGCATGCTGATATGCCAGGATAAGCAATGGCTTGAGCCAGCACTCAGACCTGGAGGAGTTGGACATCACTGGGATTTCTGGCAGATGGGTGCATTCCCAGCTCTACCCAGGAGATGGCAGAAGTACTTCAAGCACATAGATTGAAACCTCCAAGCTATGACCTATCTATTTCCCAGGTAGAGTATAATAGATTTGCATAGCAAGAGTTTATAGGAGTCGTTTCATTCACCTCTGTGGGCCAAGGGAGGCTCTCTTGTTGTCACTAGGAAGGTCTGGTTAATTTAGAGCGCGGCTTTGTGCTGTATGTGCCAGGTTAAAAATACTTATCATTGGTTCCAGCAGCAGTGAGTTCAGCTCAGGCTATGATTGTTCCAGGGTGGAGTACTGGAATCCCATGCACTTTTGCATGTGCACACGTGTGTGTGCATATGCGTAGTTCAGATAAGATTTTTAAAATGACCTGGGTCCCCTCTGCTCTGTTTGGATATTATACTTCCCACTGTAGCTTAACCACTCCCTGTCCCGCAACTTTGCCTAGTTATATGGTCAAAATATTCCATTCTTGTACAGCTGTGCATCGGACTGTATATTGGTTGGGTCCTGCCTCCCAGCAGAGATGGCTGTGTATCAGCTTTCCTGTGTGTATCTACTTAGTGAAGCACATTGGGATGAAAAGGCAAAATATTATCACCATTAATATCTTTCTGCATGAAATCAATAGTCCCAGGAGCTAGTGTGAGTGGGAAAGTAATAAAATCAATATCCTGAACGTAATTAAAAAAAGCCACAAAACAGAAATGCTTCCCTTTTCCTCTCCAGTGGAGGGCAGCAGATCAGCACGTCTGTGAAATGTCTACAGCGGTTGGCTCGCTAACACATTAACACCAGCTATAATTCCCCAAAACATCAATATAAGGGGCCCTGACCAAGAATGTCTTGCATTCAAAAGCTTGTCTAACTCTATCCTCACTGTATAGCTACTCCAATAAAAGATATTATCCTAAGAAATCCTTGCTCTCACACAGTAGAAGCGGGGGGGAAAAGAGGAACAAAGTCAGAGGTCAATCTCCGAGTTGAACACGTTATTATAGAGGCTGCCTTCTATTTAGGGACCTACCTAGCACGTGGGGGATGTATATATCTCTGTTGACTTCCCTCAGCTGTATTGTCGACTTCACAATGCCCACATCATTCGAAGGCTGTCGCCAACCAACGTAGATGCTGCCTCCACACACTTGACTCTGATTTGCCTTCCAGAGTTTTTGCTGCTATCTCGTCATCAGCCATTTTTTATTATTGCAGGGGTAGATAAGAAACTAGGTTGGAGCAACGCATCCTCTGCAGATGCTGGCTTTGCAGAGGCAGCGATGGTTCCTAAGCACCCGGGGGCCAAGCACACATTCTTACAAAGCGGTAAAAAGAGTCGAGACAAAGCGAGCTGCTTTGATTACAGGCGCATCACAAACCTACCTGTAGTCCTCCACCTCCATCCGAAGCAGGCTAGCGTATTCCAAGCCAGAATGATCCTCGGCATAATACCATTTGTTTTGGCGGCGTTATGATTCTCGCCCAATGCGTGCTGTTAGAGAGCTAGAAATACGCCAGTGAAAAGTGTAAGGAAGAACAGGAAGGACAGGAAAGTTATTATTAGAAATCAGGCCCCCTGGGGTATTAAGAACTTCTTATTCGAGTCAATATAGCACACACCCATAGCAGGGCGTAGCTCTGAACATGCCATTTGGACATGCATGTTTTGATGTTGCTTCCTTCAGTACTGCTCTAATATTCTCTTGGGTAGGCCAGCAATGACGCACCGGGACCATCGATAAACTTACCAGGTATAGCCAAGTGTACTTGGCCATAAGAAATGTCCTTCCGGGAAACTAAATAATAGTCCCTCATTTTTTTAATGATATTCAAGGAAACCACGGGCGAATCCAGAAGAACCACTGCTTTTGTAGCTGCACGGGGTTGGATTCAGAAGAGATGGTCTTTGCAATCTGCATCAGCAGTCCATGCGGGTTCATCGTTCCTGCGCACGCCACTCTCAGCTTCTGTTTCTCCTCCAGAAACCTTGGATGGGAGCTGACTCCCAAACAGGGAGAGGTCGTGTGACCCAAAAGCAGGAAAGAGTTGTACGAGGCTTGTCCATGCGGTGACCGATTGACTGCGAGAGGCGGCAGAAAATTACGGGTGAGATTTTAAAGAAGAGACCGCCAAGGAACTTTGGGTTGAGAGTTCAGCTTTGCAATAAATTAATAGATGATGAATTAGAGGAGTGCCTCCCTGGGTGTTATTTGAAAGTCAATGAGCGTTGTCATAACCGTTGTCTCTGCTAGATGGAGATAAAAGATGACTCTGCGCTCATAGCACCGCGATTCTGGGGCCCTGGGTTTGAGTTCTGCTCCTGCCACAGTCTCCTGCCTGCCCTCGGCGGTGGGGAAGGCAGCTCAGCGCCAGATTTCCACGAGGCCTCAACGGTGCTCTGCCGATGGTCGCTCCAGCAGGAGCAATTCTGACAAGCTGGTCGCTTCCTGTTGTTTAAAGGGGAGCTGCAAATTTTGTAAAGCTGATCTCCACCGGCGTGGAGGGAGGCCAGGGTTATATGGGGTGATGCACCTTGCTCTCTGCACCCCCCCTTGTCAAAAGCCTACATCCACCCACGTGGACGAGCGCTGCGGCGGCCCTGAGGATTCCTCGGGCGCTACCTGCCATTGGGATAGATGCAGAGGAGCTTCCTGCGGCCAGGCACCCCCCTTCACCAGGTCTCCTCCGATCTGATCCTGTGGTGCGGAGGGGACAGGAGAGCACAGCTCAGCGAAGGCAACTGGGAGCGTGGAAACTCCCTTTTGGGTGTCCCGGAGAAACCCGACGCCCCATAAATAAAACGGATGGGAGGCAGGTGGTTGCTTGCAAGTGCCCCAAGAACTTGGGAGCACCCCGGGGCCGTTCCTGGAGGGCAAAGGAAGGAGGGAGGGAAGGGTGAGGGGCATGGGCAGCTGGACAGAAAGGGGGCCTGAAAATGGTGCAAATAATAATTATTATTATTATTATCATCATTATCTCTGGCAAAGTGGGACAGATACTAAAAGTTTGCCAGGAGCTGCCAGGAGTCTAGGTACGGTACTGGTGCGGGGAGAGGGTAGGGTGAGGGGCAGGGCCGGACATAGGCGTAGGCAAACCAAGCGGCCGGACAGAAAGGGGACCTGAAAATGGTGCAAATCATTCTTATCCTCATTATCTCTGGCAAAGGGGGGCCCAATACTAAAAGTTCACCTGAGCTGCCAGGTGTCTACATATGGTACTGGTGCAGGGATGAGGGTGGGAAAAGAGAGGGAAGAGAGAAGGAAGGACAGAAAAGAGTGAGGGGATGGGGAAGAGGAAAAGAAGAGGGGACGGGGGGAAGAGGGCAGGGTGAAGGAGAAGGAGGGGAAAATGAGTGGGGTGCGGGAGAGTGAGGGCCTGGGGGAGAGAGGGAAGAGGGCAGGGTGAAGGAGGGAAAGATGAGTGGGGTGCGGGAGAGCGAGGGGCTGGGGGACAGAGGGAAGAGGAAAGGAAAGTACTGGTGCAGGGATGAGGGGGGGAAGAGAGAAGGAAGGACAGAAAACAGTAAGGGACAGCGGGAGGGAAAAGCGAGGGGATGGGGGATGAGAGAGAGCGACAGAAAAGGGAGAGGGGGTGAAAGAGCGAGCAAGGGGATGGGGGCAGGCTGAAGGAGAGAGGGAGGGCAAAGCGAGTGCGGGGACAGAGGGAAGAGGAAAGGACAGAAAAGAGCAAGGGACAGAGGGAGGGACAAGCGAGAGCGATGGGGGAGAGAGGGAAGGCAGCAGGAGAGGGGGAGGGACAAGCGGGAGGGGTGAAGGGAGAAGGAGAGCGGGGACAGAGGGAGGGACCGAGGCACAGGTGGCCGGGGAGGGAGCGC